GGGTTTAGAGTTTACGGTTTGGGGTTTAAAGGGTTTGGGGTTTACGGTTTTGGGGTTCAAAGGGTTTAGGGTTTACGGTTTGGGATAACAAGGGTTTAGGGTTTACGGTTTGGGGCTGAAAAGAATTTAAGGTGTACGGTTTGGGGTTTAAAGGGTTTCAGGTTTGGGGTTTAAAGGGTTTGGGGTTTACGGTTTGGGGTTTAAAGGGGTTAGGGTGTACGGTTTGGGGTTAAAAAGGTTTAGGGTTTGGGCGTACTGTTTGGGGTTTAAAGGGTTTAGGGTTTACAGTTTGGGGTTGAAGTTTACGGTTTGGGGTTTACAGGGTTTGGGGTTTACGGTTTGGGGTTTAAAAGGTTTAGGGTGTACGTTTTGGGGTCTAAAGGGTTAAGGGTGTACGGTTTTGGGGTTCCAAGGGTTTGGCGTGTAGGGTTTGGGGTTTTAAAGGCTTTCGGGTGTATGGTTTGGGGTTCCAAGGGTTTAGGGTTTGGGGTTTTGGGTTTGGGGTTCCAAGGGTTTAGGGTTTACGGTTTGGGGTTTGACAGGGTTTAGGGTTCACGGTTTTGGGGTTAAAGGGTTTAGGGTGTACGGTTTGGGGTTTAAAGGGTTTTGGGTTTACGGTTTTGGGGTTCAAAGGGTTTAGGGTTTACGGTTTGGGGTTTAAAGGGTTTAGGGTGTAGGGTTTGGTGTTTAAAGGGTTTAGGGTTTACGGTTTGGGGTTTAAATTGTCTAGGGGTTTGTGGTTCCAAGGGTTTAGGGCCTACGGTTTGGGGTTTAAAGGGTTTAGGGTGTACGGTTTGGTGTTTGAAGGGTTTGGGGTATACGGTTTTGGGTTTGAAGGGTGTAGAGTGTACGGTTTGGAGTTCAAAGGGTTTAGGGTTTACGGTTTGGGGTTTGAAGGGTTTAGTTTGCACGGTTTGTGGTTCCAAAGGGTTTAGGGTTTACGGTTGGAGGTTTACAGGGTTTGGGGTTTATGGTTTGGGGGTTTGAAGGGTTTAGGGAGTACGGTTTGGGGTTTGAAGTGTTTAGGGTGTACGGTTTGGAGTTTGAAGGGTTGGGGGTGTACGGTTTGGGGTTTAAAGGGTTTAGGGTTTACGGTTTGGGGTTTACAGGGTTTGGGGTTTACGGCTTGGGGTTTAACGGGTTTAGGGTTTACGGTTTTGGGGTTTAAAGGATTTAGGGTGTACGGTTTTGGGGTTCCAAGGGTTTAGGGTTTGAGGTTTTGGGGTTTAAAGGGTTTGGGGTTTACGGTTTCGGGTTTAAAGTTTAAAGGGCGGTTTGGGGTTTGAAGGGTTTAGGGTTTACGGTTTGGGCTTTACAGGATTTAGGCTATACGGTTTCAGGTTTAAAGGGTTTAGGGTTTACGTTTTGGGGTTTCAAGGGTTTAGGGTTTACGGCTTGGGGTTCCAAGGGTTTGCAGTTTACAGTTTTGGTGTTGAAAGGATTTAGGGTGTACGGTTTGGGGTTCAAAGGGTTTAGGGTTTACGGTTTGGGGTTTAAAGGGTTTAGGGTTTACGGTTTGGGGTTTACAGGGTTTGGGGTTTACGGTTTGGGGCTTCAAAGGTTTAGGGTGTACGTTTTGGGGTCTGAAGGGTTTACGGTTTACGGTTTGGGGTTTAAAGGGTTTTGGGTTTACGGTTTGGGATAAAAAGGGTTTAGGGTTTACGGTTTGGGGATTACAGGGTTTGGGGTTTACGGTTTGGGTTTTAAAAGGTTTAGGGTGTACGTTTTGGGATTTACAGGGTTTAGGGTTTACGGTTTGGGGTTCCAAGGGTTTAGGGTTTACGGTTTGGTGTTTCAAAGGGTTTAGGGTTTACGCTTTGGGGTTTAAAGGGTTTAGGGTTTACGGTTTGGTGCTTAAAAGGATTTAGGGTGTACGGTTTGGGGTTTCAAGGGTTTAGGGTTTGGGTGTACGGTTTGGGGTTTACAGGGTTTGGGGTGTATGGTTTGGGGGTTTGAAGGGTTTAGGGAGTACGGTTTGGGGCTTTAAATGGTTTAGGGTGTACGGTTTGGGGTTTAAAGGGTTTAGGGTTTACGGTTTTGGGTTTAAAGTGTTTAAGGTGTTCGGTTTGTTGTTTCAAGGGTTTAGGGTTTGCGGTTTGGGGTTTAAAGGGTTTAAGGTGTTCGGTTTGTTGTTTCAAGGGTTTAGGGTTTACGGGTTTTGGGGTTTAAAGGGTTTTGGATTTATCCACGGCAACTGCACCTCACATTGCGGATCATTTGTAGGGATGATACAGGCTTTCTGAAGAGGAGCTCAGAAAGTCAAAAAGGAACCAGTAAGTTGAAAGCGCTACACGTCGGCACAACAGACTCAGACCAAGGGCCTCGGCGCTCTCACTCTTTACTGGTTGAAGCTTCGCAGCATTGTGAGCCTTCGAAGATGCATATGTCCATGTCTGCCATTCTCGCACATTTACGGCGCCATGTAAAAACCACCATGGACCACAGGGAATGCAACTACAGGCAGAAGCTGCTCTCATTGCTTGGTAGTCATTCTCACCGCCACTGTAGGTCGGCAACTAACGGAGTCACCCCGATTTGGTTTCTGGATTTTTTACACCTCCGTAGACTACTGGCTGAACCTTCGGACCCTCCCATATAGCTCAAAAGCGTTAAGCGAGGGTCCCTGGACCTTATACCCTTCACCCATATCCATTAGTTAAGGGCTGATGCACGTGGGTGTGCCAACAAAGAGGGTCCCCTATCATGTCTTCCAAAAGCAGAAAGATAAGCTCCAAGTTCGTGGACCACCGTAAGGCAAATGAGAACGTTTAGGCTAGCAAGGGGCCTCAGAGACGACGTCTTTCCAGCCACCCCACATACCTGGGTTCTGTGCTTTGGATTATAGCTCAACATTGATTTTCCTCACCACAAGAAGCCGAGCGCATCTGTTGGCGCGGGTCAGAGACTTTCTTCCCAGGATCTCCAATCAAATTGGTACCGCAAGACTTGCAAGGGTTTGGTGCGGGAGTCGAAATCGAGCTGAACGCTGACAAAAGCCAAGTGTGCAAAAACTGTCAAGCCTACGGCTGCCGCTCGCCGCGCCTGCCCTCTTCAATGCGTCCGTGCTTTGTTATGTTCTTCTGCGCGCTCCAACTACTCCCCTGCTGCAGTGCACCTTGATTGCAAGGCAGTCTAATACCAAATCTTTTCCACAGGCTAGACTGAATAGGGCCGCTTGGACTCTCGGGCTTGTGCTGACTCATGTATCAGAACTACATAAGGGGATCCATTTAAGTTCCAAGCGTGCTCTTGTTGGGACACCCATATTGACCATATGTCTGACTTTAGAAGACACCCAGCCAAGTCTACTATCCACGAAGTGGAAGGACCAACGTACAACGAGCAAGTTGGAGGCTCCAGAGCAGGACTCCGCACTCTGTACATGATGTAAGTGCTTCCTTCAGCCCAGCCTGAACCCAAACTCTTAGGAGCCTACTTGTTGGTCTGTGGAGCCCTTCGAGACTGAATGCCGTGGGACATCCTTTGCCTGGGCGCAGCGTCTCGGCGGCCTCGACACAGTGGGCCTGAAGGGGTGAGAATCTCAGAAGAGGCAGAAGAGGCAAAAGAGCCAAGAGCAACAGCAATCCCTCGGTTAACAACAGCAGCTGGTAAGAATTCGCATGATTCAAAGTGCCGTAACCATTCTGGTCCCGCTATTGTGTCGTGCTGTGGATTTTGATAGCGGCAGCTGCCGTGGCCGTCATGATCCCGACTGTAGCAGCCGCTGTAGCCGCAACAGCAGCAGCTGCTCCAGGAACAAATGTTATTGCAGTCCTACGTACACACATAGGTGCACACCAGTACGAGGCGAAAGTAGCGTGCACCACGGTTGGACAGTTGATTCAGTATAACGAGAAGAGTTGACGATTTAGGTGGAGCTTTGAATCTCAGGATCTTTGATCCCACAGTTTGGAGGTCTTGCAGCAAAGAATTCAGAACTAAACCCAGTTGAAACATTTCAGACCATAATTGCTAACGCTCAAACGCATGAACTCTGGGGCCTTACCACTTGCGAAGAGACATGGCTAAGTACAGGACCCTTGTTTGATGTTCAAAGGCAATGCTCAGGCGCAGCCCGGGAAATAAAAAAGTTCAAAGGCAACGCGACAACGATTTCGAGTGATGTCCGACTCTCTTGACTGCGACAGGTCAACAGCATTGGTCTGCATTGGTGCTGGAGAATCGGAACCCAAAACCCCTAAACCCCTGCCCCTCGCCCTATAGGCTGCGACGAGCTGCGGTGTTGGTGGTGACAGGCTCGAACGGAAACGTGCATGCCTTGTCCTGGCCAAGATTGCTTTCAGCATGTTGAAGCTGCACTTTTGTTGCCACCAAAGGATGCCAAGCTCCCGCGATCTAACCTCTCAAGGTCCAAGATTTGCGGATTCATGAAGAAAAGGGCAGCTGACACCTGTTCCAGAAAGTATCTTTCCAAAGTTACTTGGGGAAGTCCGCACTTCGATATTCATGCCAAAGAGAGACCACCCGGTGGGCTCCTCATTGGGCAGGGCGTAGGCCAGGTATCCGGAGGGGCTCAGGGAAATCTTCAGCCAATCCTGCCCAGGTCAAGGCATGTCAAGGCTGTGGGCATCGTGCCTTGTAGTTTGAGATCCTTGGATACTGAAATTGCAAGCGTGTTGGAACCAGAGGTTGAGCTCTGAAATTCCTCGGCACTGGTAGCAGCTGCATGCAAGTCCAGCAAGTCTATTTAGCGATATTTAGCAGATACCGTTGCTACACCACTGGGAGCTTGAGCCACGGCAGTCTAGGTCTTGGTCTTGGACACTCAAGGTCTTGGATGCTCAAGTCATAGAAGTCTTTACTATTTTGCGCGCAAGGCTCCGCAACTGGCTTACCTGCACGAGGTCCAGTCATTTTGGAACTGTTGGTCTGTCCCCGACTCCTGCCTCTCATTCCACTGACGCTGGCACATACATTCATACATACCTGTGCCATCGAAGCTGGCGGGAGCAAGCCTGAACTTTGTCCGCTGACCATTGGCATGACCACCTAAGCTGAGATGTAAGGAAGCGCTACAATTTCCATCAGCTAAAGGGCAGAGTTATGCTTCAAGTGTTGGATTGCCATACCTGGCAACATGCCTGCGGGATCTCTGAAAAAGGCCTTGGGCGAGCAGGTGGCACCAGCCCTAGCTTGGGACTCAAATGTCACAAGCAAGGCTTCCAAATAGCTTCTATCGCCTATCCAGACTGCAGCAACCTGCTCAGCCAAGGTGCAGCTGAACCTTGGCCCCATTGAAGGCCTGGTTGGCATCAATCACCAAGCACATCTTTCCCGGAGCGTGGCGGGCCTCAATCCTCATGCAACACCCGATACAATGGGCGAGCTCTCATGAGAGTGTCTTGCTTGTGTTTTGGGCATTGATTTTCTCAAACATGTTTTTGCATACGGTTCGGACTTCGCCCAATTGACGTTTCAGAGAAAAGTATTGGGAATGGTTCTGGCTGTTTCAGTGGTATCTTTGCCCATTGCCTTCCACGACCTGAACGCCCATCTTCTACCGCATCTTCGCGACCCCACAGGTGCCAATCTCAGGGTATTTTTTGATCAAGCTGCAAGCACGCATGCCCTAACGCAAAAGAACGGAGAAAGTCACGCTCGCACTGTGCAAAGCAAACGGAAGCACAACCTGACACAATAACCGTCTTCTAGAGCTCATGAAGGCGGCGTCTGCGCAGCCCAATCACATCAAGCTACAGAAAGCGTGCTTTAATCCCTGGTACCCGACCCCGGCAAGCCTTCAACACCGTCGTCCAAGGCTCTGTCCTGCCTCGTTAAAGTACCAAGTCTGGTGCCTTGGCTGTGTGATGCACACACCACTTAAAACCGGAAAAGGAAGTTTCCCAAAATTAGGGGTACCTGTTTTGGGGGTCCCCATAATAAGGATTATAATGTTCGGTCTTCCTGTTTTAAGAAAATACCAAAGGGGGATCAAAGCAATATCCTGAATGGCGGCAAGCCATATTGTAGCATTCACTTTTGAGATTTGCACCTAATTTCTCCTTCTTGACGTGGAGAATGTAAGGATTGCTGGTGATCAACATGATCTGGATCCTATGAACCCATCAGACATAGTGCCTATTGAGAAAATGATTGCCCGAGGTCGAAGGCTTTCAAAGTGAAATCTCAATTGGGAATCAGTAACAAAACCACCATCCAACAATGAGAAGGGCCCCCGCAAGAACACTGTCAATTCTGCAAGGCAAGCAGCCTGTTGCCCTCATTGCACTTCCAAAGCCTCAGCAAGTTTGATTATCGCTGTCAGTACATGAAGGGCTAAACATGCTTAACTGCTAGGAATACCCAAGAAACGGGGAGGCTGTTATCCGCACTGCAAAGCGCCCTCCCAGAAAAGGCCATCACTCTCAAGCGCTAAACCTTTTCTACTTCCAACGCTCGTACTGGCATTGGCAAGTGCAGAACGCCAATTAAAGCTGCCAACAATAGAGTCAAATACTTGCTAAGTACGAGTGCAAGCATGCATTCGGCCTCTAGGTGGAGTTCCTGCAAGATCCTTGGAAATCTGAGTGCTAGGAAGGGTGCGCAGAGATGATGGAGCTGCTCGGCTTAGTTCCTGCGCATGTCGCAAGCCATACCTGATGTAATGAATTTGATCAAAAGCTTGACAACACTCCCTCTGGTCCGTAAAGCAACACTAGGCATGAGCGGATTCATCTACTTCCAAGCCAAAGCTTCGGTGCTGCTTAGGTGCTGGATCTTGGCTCCATTCTCGTACCTGTCGCCGTCAATGACTACACAGTAGTCAGGTGTCCTCAGCAAGGTGTTTTGTAGTTGGCTGTTTTTTCGCAACGTCAGAGCACTGTCAGAGCGCGCCGAGGCCCAACAGTCAAATCTGCACCATCCCCTAGTCTTTAAGGTGGAAATGTTTATGGACGAAATCAATGTCTTTTTGTTGCTCCGCTGGGTCCAGCTTTTCAAGCCATGAGCATTTCACTCCATCCGCACCTCGTGGACCAGCGTGCACAGCTGTGTGCTTGTCATCCCCCTTTTGGATTAGAGCCGGAAGAAGTTTCAGCAAGGTATCGAGGAAGGTTACGAAGAACTGGCGGGGTTGATCGGTGGCCCGCTCGCACGCGAGCATGTCAACAACTTTGCCTTGCTCAATGCGTTCGTCGCTGGGACTGATTGCCTCCCTGAAGTGTAGAAGCGGCCCGATGATGGATCCAGTGCTTTCCATGCGTGCGCTGTTGTCGAACGCTTGTGTTGCTTCCAAGCCTCGACCTGGTCTGCAAGATGCTACTTGCCATATCCACGCAACCAAGGAAGAGACGACATCCTGAAATTCAGCAGAAGCGTTGGCAGCGAGCTGGAGCAAAAACTGCGGGCCAAGTTAGCACATGCACAGGGTCTCAGCAACCACTTGATTCCAAACATCTCCAGTTTGCTCCACCCGGACCTTGACCCTTCAACATTCCTGAAGGCCGAACGTATTCGAAAATGGTGAGAGGTGATGGGAAATCATGAAACATGTTGACGATCATGCAACATGACAAAGCCGATAAGCAACTATGAACAATGGTCAGAAACAAACCATCAAATCGATGAACGCTATTGAGACATGATGGAATATGATACAATGCCATGTAAACGATGACATAGGAGAACTTGCAAAAATCACGAGAATGATAGCAAATGATGGAAAGCATGCCAAATTGATGCGATGCATCGCTCATGACGAAAACAATGAGAAATGACAACAAGCGATGAAACATGATGAAACCATGAAGGGTTGATGAAATGTGGTGAACCATGATGAATCGAGATGGGAAGATGATGATTGCCGGTAAAACGTCATGGAAAATTCCGAGAAATTATACATGATGATGAAGCATGATGAGATATGACAAAAAAAAAAAAAAAAAA